GTTCCACCCTTCTTGGGTGCAGAATCTCCCTTTTTCCCTCCTTATAGTCATTCTGAGCCCTTGCCCATGCTCAGACCCTCCTGCAAACATCATTGTGAACCACCCCAAAAGATCTTGTCCTTTCCCAGCTGTCCAGCCCTTTCAGAGGACCCCTGTTTCCCTGTCTGGCTGCCTTGTTTTCCTGCAACTCTTTTACCTGTCCTAGTGTCCTCTCCTGGCCAGGGCACAGGACCCTCCAGCACTGACCTTGACTTTTTCTTGTTGCAGATCCTCCCCTCAACTCCTGTAGGGTGTGTTCTGGGGTAGGATCCAAAAGCTCTGGGTGTCAAAACACTAACTGCAGGCCCAGTCCTAGCCATGGCACTGTACCACACTCCAGGGGTTGTGTCTGACCCTGTACCCATGTGGTATGTAGGGGGGAAGCATGTTGCTAGGATTCCTGGGTTCTATACCTGGGGTGTGCGTGCATGCATGTGTGTGCATGCTTGTGTGTGTCCATCTCAGTAACAATTTATGTGATCTGAGTTGCCATGATAGGCTCTGGTACTCTGATTATGATGGCAGTGACCCCACGTAACCCTGCCCTGCTTGTTCCATTTCTGCCAGTGGGCCCCTTCTGATCTCCTTTAATCTCATGACAGTCCAGCCAGGGAGTGATGAGATAGTGGAGCAGGACCTGGGAGCAGGACCTGCTGCCTCTGCCTCCTGGCTGTCCTGTCCCTTGGTCCTCCAGCATGGAGGGTTGCTCCCTTCTCCCCTTCCCCTCCCTCTGCTGCTGCAAGGGAAGGGGTCCCCTGAGGCCCTTGCCCGCCTTGGGGAAGCCATATGTCAGCAGCCAGTGTTGGCACAAGGAGAGAGAGAAATTGGAGCCACCTATTTCCCCAGCACTGCTTCCCTGTCATGCATCTCCCCTGCTGTTCCAGTCCTGTGCATCCCTTGCCCATCTCTGCCACTGCCTCTCATTGAGGGGTGGCTCAATGTGACGCACAGGGCTGCAGGGTGAAAACTTGTGTCTCTGCATCCACAACATGCTGCATGCTTCCATGCACCTGCATGGACCCCACAGCAGCAGCAGCAGGCTGAGGCTGTTATTTCAACCCTGTGACCAGAGGGTACTAGAGAAATTACTTGGGGGTTAGCCAGTGTTTCTCAGGATCCCTTGGGGTATTGTAATGGAATCAGTGCCACGAGCAGGGGCTTTGTGAGTCCATACTATTAGACTGAGGTGGGTACAAGTATGGACTCGTAGGCCTGCTCTAACCACTTGACTACACTGCCCTTGGGGGGTGTGTCAAGATCAGGTGCAGTCCCATAACCTTTTGTGCACATTCCTGCCCCAGGCCAAGGATTCTGGCTTTGGATACCCAGGAGAGCTCATTCCCTTCAGATCAAAGCCACTCTGATATTGCCATAGTGGGTGTGAAAGTCCCATGGGGCCTGGCGGATAACTGGGTCTGGACTGTGCTTAGGGTTGGGGGGAGGAATCCAGCAATGAAAGGGTGGATGGAGAAGCAGGGAAGGAAAACAATCCTGCAAAAAATAGGGTGAAAAGAAGATAGAGAGGGGTGTGAGAGGTCCAAGGAGAAAATCGGTGCAGCAGCCGGCAGCATACGGGACCCCAGCTTGTGGCAGGCTGGATCATGGGGACTCTTCCGTTCCTCGCAGCCAGTCCAGCCTGCCCGTCAGCTGGGAACCTGGGCTGTGAAATGGGCTGTCCTTTCCAGGGAAAGGCATGGGCTCAATCCTCAGCAGGGGAGCTCCAGGAAGGCTGTTTTCATCCTCTGAGGACTGTGACTTTAGATCACTGGTTCTCAGGCTCTCCCAATGCTCCCACCTCTTTATTCACAAGATGATCCCGACCCCCTAACTCCTGATTGTACCCCTTCGGCTTAGACCCTATGGCAGAGAGAGGGTCCCAGGTTCGACGCAGCTTGGTGCATCCCCTTCCCAAGAGGGAGGCCCTTCAATGCTTCAGGCCTTGTGTCCCTAGCCCTGTAAGGATGGGGAAGGTTTCATGGAATTGGCTTGTTGATGGGCCTGAGCCATCACCGTGGTGAGTGTGAGGTCTTGCACAGCTGTGTGGCTCATGCAACCCCAGGCGCCTGACACTGAGGAAGCTGACTGCCGTGCCAAGGGGGCAGCTGGGGGCTGTCTGTGAAAACACTGGCCGGGACCACAGGAGCAGTCACTGTGCCCACTGCCCCTCTGCATGCCCTGCTCTTGCTCAGCAGCCCCCCTGCTTGTCCAAAAGAGACTGCCCGTCATGCCAAGCTGCGAGCTGGGCAGCCTGAGCAAGGCCCTCTTGGTAGCAGGTGCAGTCTGATGACGCTGGCTGTTGGGGTGGCTCCTCAGGTAAATCCGAGGGGCCCCGGCCTGCTTTAGCTCTGTGCGGTCACCCACGGGTGGGGATTTTAAAGGGCTAGAGTTGCAGGGTTCCTGTTCTCTTCAGCCGTTCATGAAGCCCTGGACTGCTGCTGGTAGTTTGGGGAGCCCAGATGGGGAAATTGAGACAAGGCAGCTAAAACAACTTGTCCCAAGCTGCAGTGAGATCTGTGTCAAAGACGGCTTTTCAGCTTCTTTGGAGGCTCCCATTGTCTCCTTTCAGAAGGATCTGCTGTGAAGATCCCTCTGCCATCCTCTCCAGCCATGGTCACAGCCCGCAGACGATTCAGCGCTGTGCTGGGGGAGCTGTGGCATGGAGAGGCTGGGGTTTTTCCTCCCTATTCCCTGTCCGTATGATGTGCGTCTCTGTGTGGCAGAGCAGCACCCCCAGATGCTGGCAGGGCTTCTCTGTGCCGCCAGTATCCGAGGTGCCAGCAGCTACCAGGCGTGTTCTTTAATCCTCTTCTTGACATGAGAGGCTAAGTCCTTTCCGTCGGCAGTAATCTCTCCTTGCAGGCTGAGCGGCTGTCGGGTGACATTGTGGCTGAGAAGGGGAACAAGGAACCAACTTAACAGGTTCTCTGCCCCAGCTAATAACTCGGCAGAACATCAGTCACTGTCTGAGCAGCTTTCCCAGGCAAACTGGCTGCTTGTTAACCCTGGGAGATGACAGAGAGCTCGATAACGATGATTTGCCAGGAGGAGCCCATTTAGCTGAAGGAAGCACATCAATCACGTGGGAGGAGAGGGTTGCAAAAATAGCACTTACCTGCGCTGCCTGCTGGCTCATCCATCAGCCCTCACCTTATCTCTTCCCAGGTGGAGCGAGTGCACTGGACGCTGGCCCCAATTCACCATAGCTGTGTACCTGGTGGTGCCAGGTGTACCCTTCTTGTCCTGGTGCAAGTGGCTTCACGAGGTGTGTGGTGGTGGTGAATAGGTCCCTGTATTAGCCTGGTGTCCTCTCTGGACGTGAAGCCACAGGGGCTAGCCGTTGCCATTGCCTCACCACACAGTTGGTTGAAAAACGAACGGTGTATTTTCTATGTGTATTTATGTTCAGGGTGCTCATGTGGCAGCTGACCCCCTTCTTTTGGCTGGCAGAGTGAGCAACACCTTTCTAGTCAAAAGAAGGTCTCTGCCACCAGTTAGCAGCCAGCAGAGGGTACATGTAGAGATGTCCGTGCCTTCTGCCAGTTGCCACGGGCCCCTGAGCAGCTGGGGCTTTTTCAGGGTGCCCTCCACCTTGTTGGCATGGCTGCTGCAGTGGAGCCACCGGGGACCAGGTGGCTAGGGGCGCACTCCAGCAGCTTCCCGGCGGTGGTCGATGGCTGCCGGCCGGCTGAAGTTGTGGCCGTGCAAGCAGCCAAGTGTAAGTGAGGTCTGGAGTTAGACCTGGGTTTTCTTGCCTTCAGTGGTTTGCAGTGAGGCAAGTCACTTTTTTGCAGTGAGGAAGGGTTACTCATCTCCTTCGGGAAGGGCTTTGAAGGCAAATGATGAAAAGCTCTATTTGAGTTAACTGCTGTTACCGACAGGGAAACCGGTCACTTCCTGCCTTCTCACCCCTGCAGTCAAAATCCTTTTTTCGTCTACAGCAGGCTCTCTAAGGGGCTTGCCCTCTAGAGGCTTTGAGACCTCAGGAGTTCAAGCAGTTAGCTATCACCAACTGATCTGTTACCTGGTGTCTTCATACTCTGTGCCCCAAAGAGTTCAGTCTAAGGGAAACATGCCAAATAAAGACTATGCCGTGGAGAGCTGTTCACGCCTAGGAAGGGGCAGATAAGAGAAGAGAGTAAGGAAAGAAGGAGTCCTGGCAGGAGTGACTCTGGAGGAGAAGGGAGATTTGGAAATTGGAAGACTGCACCAGTTGTAAAAGGAAGCATGAAAGGGGAAATGGAGAGATTATCTCTAGACTCTGGCTAGAGCCGGGCAAAAAATTTTGGAGGAAGAATGTCTTAGCTGAAAAATACAGTTTTGAGTGGAACAAAGCTATTTGAGAGTTCAGGTTGAATTTGGAGAACAGTTCCAGCTGAAAAAGGAAGTCAGAATTTTTGGGGGTTTTTTTGTGGAAAAGTTGAAACATTTCCTTTCAAAACAAAACAGTTCAGCTTTTCTTTTCAGTGGGTGCTTTTGTTTTGAAATTTGCTGAAACTCAGTTTTAAAAATGGTATTAGAAAAAGGGTTGAAAACCTAAAAATGAAATGAAATGTTTCAGGTTGAACAAAATGTTTTTTGCTTTACCCGAAAAGGAATTTTTCTTCCCTTTGTTCTCAGTTCAGCCAGCAAATAGAAAAACGAGGTCTCTATACAGCTCTGACTTGCCATCTTGAAGGCAGTGGTCTAGACAAATCTAGGAACGGCAAAGCTCAATACTTTGTGGAAGAGATTTAGATCCTAAGGTGGACAGAGACTGAATAGAGCATTTTTATGTCCCTGCATGAGCTGTGGGTCAAGGTTATAGAGTAGTCCAAGAGAGACATAAGGATCTCCTCATGGGAAGGTGCCAAACAGCAATGTGGCTTGACTTGGATGGTGAGACGAGGAGGGCAGGGTGTCTGACGTGCACATATCCTCTTGAGCCAAGGGACTGTCTTTATTCTCTTGCCTTTTTCTTGCAGGTTCCTACCTCGTGGTCAACTCCTCTCAGCATGCCCCAGGGCAGAAAGCTCGCATCCTCTTCCAGCCACTGAGCGAGAATGATACCCACTGCCTCCAGTTCAGCTACTTCATGTACAGCCGGGATGGCCACAGCCCGGGCTCCCTCAATGTCTATGTGAAAGTGAATGGTGGCCCACTGGGCAGCATGGTTTGGAATGTGTCTGGCTCCCACGGGCGCCAGTGGCACCAGGCAGAGCTGGCTGTCAGTATGTTTTGGCCCAATGAATACCAGGTGAGTGACAACGAGATGATGTTACAGAGTGATTCGAGGCCTGGAAAATAAAAAGTGAGCCCAGGAGGATACCAAGGGACAGTGCATTCAAGCGGTGACTGAGCCACAACATAGCCTGGTATTCTGGGGCCTGGTCCTGAGCCTTTACTAATGTAACTTCAGCTACCCACATGAGGAAGGAGTGTAGGGCTAGGGCTGCTAGTCCTGATGAACAAATGCTTGGTTGGTGAGTCAGCCTCCCATTCCAGGTCTAGGGTCTCCATCATACAGCAGTCCTAGTGCTCTACCATCCCAGCCTTCAGTTGTGGGCTGCTTCTCCATTGCTCTGCTGATGTCCCTCATTCCCAGCCTTCCTGTTGCAGGTCTGCCATCCTCAGCTCTGCTGATGGCACCCCACAGTGCTAGGCTTCTGGAGAGCTGATTGGAAAAGTATGGGGGTGGTGTCTATCTAAACCTCTCAGTGCCCCAAATGAAGCTGGGGAGCCTCATGGGAGTGTGCTTTCACTTGGAGTTGTAGCACATCCAGTTGCTGGCTGGACTGCATGTACAACATAGCATGTCCCTTTCTGGGTGTTAGCTCCTCAGCTTTCCATGGTAGCAGGAACCCAGGCAAGAAAGGGCTGCAAAAACATGAACAGCTATTAAGCCAGATAGTGGTCTAGGATTCCTTTTCTTAAAGAGTGTGATACAAACTAGAGAGGAGCCCAAGCTGCAGCATCTGAATCCAGCCCTGGAGTCTTGCACCCAGCCAGTATTTGGGGTGGTCAGTTTTGGGGACTGGGACCAGGACATTATGTAAGTAGGCCAACCCCATAAGTCCTGGGCCCACTGTGAAAGATCTCCAGGCTCTTCCTTTGCTGGTGTCATCCTCCCTATACCAGGGGATGGAGGTATGTCATTCCAGCATAGAATTAAGTGACAGGTATGTGTCTGGTTGCTCTCAGGTCCAGTTTGAGGCGGTGATCTCCAGCGAACGTAGAGGATACCTTGGCTTGGATGACATTTTGGTCTTGAATTATCCCTGCTGTAAGTAAGATGGAGACCTGGCTGCAGCTGCCTTCCTGACAGGGGCCAGCCATCTGGCCTGCCATGCTGTCATGGGGAGTCCTCACACTGCCAATTAATGTCCTTGTAATGAGGGGTTTGATGGGACTCGGTGTTAACTGGCTGCCGTGGTGCCTGACAGCATTCATACTCTCCTGTCAGAGCAGAGCCAAGGAGGCACACCAGCTGATGTGGCTGGGGATGGATGAGAGATGGCTGTCAGGACCTTTTGTCAGCAGGGTGTTGGGGCGGGGGTGAGGGTGAAGGGACAGCCTCCTACAGACAACATAAACTTGAAGTATCAGGAACTGGAAGTCACCAGCCTGGTGAATAGGACCAGAGAGGGCCATGCAGGGGAACAGGCTGGTGAACAGCACTGATTTTTGGCAGGTTGGGAGAGACGCTGAGGTGCTGTCACTGGGCAGGGTGGTGCTGGGTGGGTAAAGAACATGACTTAATGGCTAATGCTGCACAGGGCCAGACAAGGTGGGGAGTGCAGGCTAGTGCCTAGCACCAGGCAGGAAAGCTATGAGTCCCAGTCCCCACCCCTCCCATCTCACCTTGGGGAATAGACCAGCACCCCCATCATGTAGCTGTGATCACTGGGCGTCAGTGACAAGGGGCTCAAAGCACCCAGGGTCACACTGAGCCCTACACCTGCTGAATGGACACCCACTCACTCATGATCAGTGAAGCTCAGTTATGTACCTTCCTGTGGGATCCTAGGGGCTTGATTTCAGGAGTTCTCAGCAGCTCATGGGCTCAGTGGTTGGGTGGGTGACACTGCAGGGGCATATGTGAATGTCCCTTGAATGATACACCCTAAAGCTGTTTCTGCTTCTGCTCACAAGTCTGTAAACTTAGATGAGCACAGGCCTAGATGTCATGCCTTTGAAAAGGACAGTTCTGGTGGCAAGGGAAAGGTCAGTTGACTGGGGATAGCCTCTGCGAGGTAGCTAACATCCTGGCAGACTGGACAAATTGGGTTCAGGGCATGTATACCAGTGTGCCCCTGAGTCCTTTCCCTAAATAGTGTCTCTGCCAGACCAAGCCAGTAAGCTCTGGAGCATTAATGATAGGGAAGGAGGGCATTGCAGGAATGTGGTGCTAGTCAGTAGTGTCCTTCTTTGTGGCTGGAGAGTTAAACTGTCAGGCAGCTTCTGAGCCTTTCGTATCGTTCCTGCCGCCTCCTCCATGGCTTCTGCTTCTTCTGAGAAGGTGCCTCCCATACAGTCTGTTTTGGCGGTGGAGCAGTTGCTCCATAGAATAGGACAGTGAGAATTTACAGTCAGGCTCACAGCCATCATTCCACGATGCCCAGTACCCTACAGCCTGCAGTGATCAATACATGATGCTAAGAGGAAAGAGAAAATCCCCCCCATAATGCGCTTGTCTAATTGTGCCATGTGGCAACTGTGGAAAAATGTCTTCCTTCCTGACTCTGTCACTGAAGTGGATTGCTTCTAACCTACCCTTCCTAAATGCAAAGAATTTGGATCTATATACTGGGGGGCTCTTTGATCCAGGTGCTGAGCTAATTAATACCATTTAATTCAGCTCCTGCTACAGCCGTTAATCCTGAGCAAGAAAATAGCATGTTTTATAGCTGTGCTCCACTGCAGAGCCATAATCTGGTGTGGCCGTGTGCTCCTGGGATCCAGCACTCTGTCCCATGGCTGTGTACGGGGGGGAAGCGAGGGGCAAGCCCACCGTAGTGTAGATCTGGTGTGGCGCGCCTGTGGAATCCAGTGGGATTGTTTGTTTCTGTGCCTCTGCAGCCAAAGCGCCTCATTTCTCCCGCTTGGGCGATGTGGAGGTCAATGCCGGGCAGAACGCTACCTTCCAGTGCGTGGCAGCTGGGAAGGCATCGGAAGCCGAGAGGTTCCTCATGCAGGTGACTGGACCAGGGGGGCTGCCTGGTTTTGCTGTCTTTCTCACTGTCTCTGGGACTCCCTGAGTCACCTCATTCCCAACTCTTCTGTGCAGTGCCCTGATTGCAAAGCCAGGGTGCTGGTACTGACTCAGTGCTGCCTCATCAGTACTACCCAGAGAGGTGGGGCTCCCGGTCCATTTGAAGGCAGTGGTGTGGGGGCTGTTGGAAATGAGCAGAGGAGGGGAAGGCACTTTAACACTCTTCCCCTCCCTGACCCTCTGTGTCACATCAGAGATTCCCTAGGCTCCTTTCCACTAGAGAGCAGTTGATGGAGGATAGAGAGATGACCCCACTCTCACCCTGGCCTACCTCAGGGGCTCTTCTGGGCGATATTCCCATTGAGGTTGGCAGGAGTTTTACCTAACTAAGGGTGACGAGACTGGACCCCTAAGCAGCAATGGAAGACATGGGCTGCTATAATTTCCTACTCGCCACCCTCTCCCCACATCCCAGTGGGGCATTAGCATTTGGCATTGTGCTGCCATTCCCATTCTGCTCCACATTACCACCATCTAACTGTCCAGAGAGCAGCACTGAGGGCTCTGGGGCTGGAAGGCTTGACAGGCAGGATCTTGAGTGAAAACACAGTGGGGGAAAACGGGTGGGGTGGGTACTATCAGACACAGACGAGATCCCGCATTGCTACTTGGCCATTATGGGGAGCTTCACAGAGCAAGCACAGAAGAGCTGAGCAGCAGGTGCTGCCTGGATTTCACCTTCCTCCCAACGTAACATCATCTTGTTGGCCAGCAGAGGCAGAATGGAGCAGTTGTCCCAGCTGCCTCGGTGAAGCACATCAGCCATAGGAGGTTCCTGGCTACCTTCCAGTTGGATGAGGTCTCCAAGGCAGAGCAGGACCTCTACCGCTGCGTCACCCAATCCGTCCGGGGCTCCGGTGTCTCCAACTTTGCAGAGCTGATTGTGAAAGGTGAGGGTGATGCTTCTTTATGCTATGGGAGGACCCTTCAGCTGAAGATCGCATCACAAATCTGTGCTGCTGGCCCCATCCCTGTGATACAGATGAGGGAACTGGGGCACAGAGACAGAAAAAACCTTGCCTCAAATTGCACAGGGAGTTGACTCCCACTTGTTGGTTAATGCACCGGACTGGAACTTGAGACACTGGGTTTTGTACCCAGCTTTGCCACTGGCCTGCTGGATAACTTTGGGCAAGTCGCTTTCTCTGCTTGTGCCTCAGTTTTCCCCACCTTTAAAATGGGAGAAATGCTGCAAGCCTTGCTTTGAGCTCTCCTGATGAGTTAGTTCAGTGGTATCAAACTAATCCAGTCCCTGCAGACCATCCCTGTGACTGGATCCAGAATGTGGGGCTGGACCAGCTAGATTGGGTCCATGCAGCACATGTGCCAGACCAGCTGTATGTGTGGGGTCTGGCCCATTCCAGCATATGGAGCTGGTCCAGCACATACTGAATATGGTGTTTGGGTTCAGTCCAAGACCTGTGGGTAGCACTGTGGGCTGGACGATAAGGATCTACATGCCAGATTTGGCCTGTGGAGCCTGTATCTTTGACACCCCTGAGCTAGCCATTGCTAACAACTGTAGATACTAAACAAAGACAGCTCATTGCGTGAGGGGAGGTGCTGTCTCTTCCTCGGTCCTCTCCCTGCGGCAGGTCTCAGGCTGTATTGTGTTGGCTTGTAGCCCTGCTCCAGCTTAGATGCGTGTGTGAGAAAAGGCAGGCAGCTTGACAGGAGGCTGGAGGGAAGAGCAGGGGACAAGTGTGATGGTGGGGAAGGGGAAGCTGATGAGCTGGGGAAAGATGTGATAGGAGAAGAGCAGGTGAGCTGGTGTGAGGAAGGGAAGGACAGGAGGTGTTAGGTGTGCTTGGAAATGGTGGAGTGACAGGTGGGGGCTGATGAAAAGGCACCTCCTGAAAACCAGACTTGAGGTGTCTCACTGACTTTAGAGGGGGCGAGTTTAGTCCACTGGATGTGGGATGACTGAATCAATGCTGAAGGTCTTCCCTCTGATCAGGACTCATCATTGATTTAGACCAGGGATGGGCAATTATTTTGGGCAGAGGGCCTCTTACTGAGTTTTAGCAAGCCATTGAGGGCTGCATGACAGGCAGCCCAGGGCAGATTAATTAATTTTCTAATTTTTTTAGGGGCCCTGCAGGCTGGATAGAATGGCCTGGTGGGCCGCGTCTGGCCCCCGGGCCGCATTTTGCCCACCCCCGATTTAGACTGACTCATTGTTTCATCCCAGTGCCATGTGATGCTGGTGAAGTCACTAGGAGCCTTATTGTAGATTTGAGTGATTATTGGTTCATATTGCAGGAGTGTTTGCTGTAGAAATGCAGCTGACTCTGGTAGGTTGTGGCAACCGTTCAGCAGAGCACAGTAGCAGTGCTTCATGTTTTTAGTGTGTAATGACTTAGGAAGCAGCAGGCAGGATCAGACCTGAGATCCACCATGTGCACTGTCCTGTCTCTGACATTCGCTCATACCAGGCACTTCAGAGGCATGAGTAGGAAAACTTGCTTCTTGAAGCAGTTCCTTCCTGACTCATAATTGATAGATGGTAGGTCATTCCCTGATCTATAAATGTTCATAGTCCTGCAAAAGCTCTCGGGCATTTAAAAAATATTGATTTAACTGGATATTCTTTCTTTCCATATACATTGTTCCTTTCCATGTACAGCTCTGCCCCGGCTGGACCTGATGATCTTGTAAGGTCGCTTCCAGACCCTAACATCTATGATTCAACATCTATGAATCTATGTGCAGGCACTTTTTACCTGGTAGCTTTGAGTTCCATAAGCTCAGCGTGCTATCCATCGGTGGATTCAGAGGCACGGTAGCCTTTGTTAAGGTAGTGGGATAGCACTAGTTTGCAGTTATCAGCGTCTGTGTGTCAGCCAATGCAGACCATTTGTAAAAAAAATAAAAAAAAAGGAAGGGAGGTGCCTCCCCACATGGACTTTGTTCATTTATTTTTGATGGTCGTAGTTGGGTGCTAATTAATTTTGATGGAACTTCACGGCACCGTCACAGCCTGCTTTGTACAATTAAGGTTTGGTCAGTGGAACTGTTGTGCCCTGCATTGTAAAACCTTTGCTGGGAGAGGGGAGGGAGTGAGAGAGAGCGAGGCACTGGGTGTGTGTGTGTGTGTGTGTGTGTGTGTGTGTGTGTGTGTGTGTGTGTGTGTTAAGGGGGGAGAGATGGGAGGGAGCGAGAGAGAGCGAGTGTGTGTGTGTTGGGGGAAGTACAGCAAATATCTTATTTTTAGGGGTACATTCTCTTTACTTGTCTGGTTTTGTTCAAGACCAGATTATACTCTCAGTTGCATCTGTCCTTTGCAGTGTCCTGCAACTGAGGTCAGCATTTGTCCCACAGGCCAAGGGCAGAGTTGCTTTTGAAGAGAAATTTATGTGTGCCAGGATTGCTAGATCATGGGCTAGAGCAGGGGTGGGCAAAATGGTGGATCCAGCTGGTGGCTGGACTCTATTTCCCAGTAGCCCCTGCCTGTGTTGCTATAACTAGTTTCCATGGAGATCCCAGCAGCGGTGGCACTGTGGCAGTGTAGGGCCAGAGTTTCCACGGAGACCAGTCCCAGCAGCACTGGCAGGGCACGCAGCTGGGCAGGGAGCTGTGCTGGGGCTGGGATATTGCGGTGGTGGCAGTGTGGTTGGGAGGTGGGGCAGAGCCCCGATCCGCTGCCCGCATGCCCCTGCCTGGGACATGTGGGCAGTGGATTGCAGCTCTGCCCCAGCTTTGGACCATGTTGTCACCGCCACAAGATCCCAGCCCCAAAGCTCGCCCTGCCCAGCCTTATACCCTGCCAGTGCTGCTGGGGCTGGTCTCCATGGAAACCCTGGCCCCGTGCTGCTTCGGCGCTGCCACTGCTGGGGTCCCCATGGAAACCGGCTGTGGCGATGTGGGCAGGAGCTTCTGAGAAGTGGAGTCCTCCGAGAGCCTGATATGGCCCATGGACCGGACTTTGCCTGCCTGTAGGCTAGAGTCTGCCCTTGTTTGAAAAGGTGGACCTCTGTGGCAAAGTCAGTGGAACTGCTCTGCACTGAGAGGACGCTGAGTCTGACCCAGTCATCCTTCTCAAGCCAGGATCCTGGTAGACAAATGAGGAAGAGGAAGGTTTGAATGTGTCTATACTATAGAAAGGATTGGAGCCCCATTGCATTAGGTGCTGTGCACACACCTAGCAAGAGGCACTGTTGGCCCCAGGGCAGTCAGAGCTCAAGCAGACAAGACACATCAAAAGTGGGAGAGATTCGACATGGGGAACTGGGCTCAGGGAGGTTCACTCATTTACTTAAGGCTACACAGGGAGTCTGCAGCAGAACCTAGACCCTGGATTTCCCAAGTCCTAACGCAGCACCAGCCATACAGCGCAGTGGATGGTGGTGGTGCAGGACAGGTGCTTGGCTCAGTAGGGAGGGGGATGCTCTATTCACCCTGCTCTGTCCTTCCCCAGAGCCTCCGACGCCCATTGCTCCCCCACAGCTGCTTCGAGCTGGCTCCACCTACCTGATCATCCAGCTCAACACCAACTCCATCATTGGCGATGGCCCCATCGTGCGCAAGGAGATTGAGTACCGCATGACGTCAGGGCCCTGGTCAGAGGTCCACGCCGTCAACATGCAGACCTACAAGCTGTGGCACCTGGATCCCGACACGGAGTATGAGATCAGTGTGCTGCTCACTCGCCCAGGCGAGGGAGGGACTGGCAAGCCGGGGCCGCCCCTCATAAGCAGGACCAAATGCGCAGGTAGGTGGCTGGTTAACAAGGATGTGGGAGGAGTGGGAGGTGCTCTGTCCATCCCAGGTTGCGGGAGGTGCTTTAACTCATCAGGATCTTCATGAGCATCCGTGGGGCAAAGGGAGTGGCATGTGTGGAGTCTCTGCTTGTTTCACCGTCCTGGTCAGTAACACAGAGGGATGTTCCTCAAGACGCTTAACTTCTCCTGCCCGTCCAGTATCCTTGTTACTAGGGCTCAGACCTGTCTCTGACTGCCCCTAGCCACAGGATTCAGGTGTGCCTGTAGGCTTCCAGCCAGCAGGTGATGTTTCACTAATGCATGGGTGTGGGGGCATGGGGCAGGGCCTGTCGGAAGGCAGCCGGCTTCATCAGGGTCCACCCTGGGTTAGTGCGATGGGAGTGACGGCTCCAAGCCCTGTGTTTAGAGACAGTCAGTGTCGTGGGTGCTGTGAAGAAATACCTTCTCATCTACCCCATGCTGGGAGACCAGTCCCTAGCAATTCAGTCCCTCCCACATACATTTTTTCAGTTGGATGCTGCTTTTAATTCTAGTGTTTAGGTGAGACCTTGTCTTGGGGGCTTCTCCATTAAGTGAGCTCAGGCCATTCCTTTAGCCTCTCTCAGCCTGTGAAAGCCAAGCAGTTGCTGCACAGTCCTGGCCCCCTCTGCCTCACCCCTTACCTGGGAAGAGGCAAGGCTATGCTACTCTTGCTTTTGTGTGCTCAGTTTGCCATTATGTGCACTCAGGTGCTAATGGTTGAGCCCGGGTAAAAATAAATGAATAAATACCAGGACCCCAAAGAAAGCTGTCCTTTGTGCCGAGGCTGACTGTGCAGCTGGGATTTACTGTCTCATATGTTAACAAGGGTCACATTAAACTGACAAATGATCGTTGCTTCAGCAACTAGATAAAGAAACAGTCAACGTTCATTGGCAGTGGGATTAATAACAGCGCAGGAACAATGAGGTTTTGCACTCGCCGTGGCCCATAACTCAACTCCAGAGCACTCGTTTTTACAGCTTATGGCTTGTTGAGTACATTGGTTAAGCACTTGCTGTGGTGATGAATGGGTTAATAATGGGTGGGGCAGTAGCTTTTGTGTGCACTGGATCCTGCCCCAAAAGAGCTGGGTCTTGCACTTGCTGTCTGGACAGGCGGGGGCACCAGCACCATCCCAGGCTCAGGGGGAGAGTGCCTTGCACATGTGACATGAAAGGCCCTGCCCCAGAGAGCCGCAGCCTGACCTGGAGGACACAAGAGATGGGTGGAGAGAAGGAGGAGCCAGGGCAGCAAATGTAACAGGGGAGTTAGGATTGTGATCTTTCCAGCCGTGCTTTTACCTTGGAGGCACATCCCTTGACTTCGATGTGAGCAGAGGTTGCCCAGCGCTTCTCGAGGGAGTGGAACTGGACCTCCTCACAGGATCAGGCCCTGTGAGGTTGCAGGTGGTGGCAATGTACCCATCTCAGGTCTTCTATGCCTCATTCCTAGCCTGCGTGCTCTCACGTAGGCTGCGTTGGCCCTCATGTTCCCCAGTATCGTTATCCCCATTGCTCAGATGGAGAAGTGAGGCACAGAGAGACTGAGTGAGCCCAGCAGGGGCTTCCTGAGACTCCAGTCCTGTGGGAACAGGTTCCACTGCTTGGATTCACTACCTGGGACACACCATGTGACCAGTGTTCCCGGGAGCGAAGCATTAGCAGAGCCCTGACTGAAATATTCTGCAGGCAGGAGCCTGTAGCAGTGGAAGCCGAGAAACCTTTGGCTTCAGTCATCAGCTGCCTCCAACCACAATAGATAAGCATGTGGATCTGCCCTTAATTGACTTTTTAGCAACAGCATCCTGCAGCATTCACTCTGCTCTATTGTTCCCTAACCAAGATCCTTTCAGGAGGGCTGGCTGGGCTGTCACTGGAAGAGCTGAATGTCCTCGTATGCATTGAGAGCCTCTGGAGGCCAGAGCATAATTAGCTGGCTTGTCAGTGCAGAGGCACAACTGGACTGCCTTCCAGGAGAGCGCTGGCATTCAGGATGGGATTCCCTCCACCTGGCCTGGCACAGGAGCAGACATTGTTTGTAGATGCTCCATTCTCCTTGTGCGGAGACCAGATGCAGGGTGCTTACTCACTGCCTCCAGGCTCAGCAGCCCTAGTTCACAAGCAGAGCCGTCCTACTTTGACAGAGGTTTCTAATGAAGCCTGAGCTCCAGCCAGGTTCATTGGAGGGTGAGAGGATGTGCCTGTTAGGGCACAGTTTTAAACTGGGGAAAAGAACATGTGCAGTTATGCTGAATGGGCCAGAAATATTAATCCCAGCTAAGGAGCTTTGATTGATTGGCAGTGGGTTTTGCAGCAGCCAAACTGAGTGACCATCACCAGTCCTATTTGCTCTTACTGTTCCTGCCATCGCTCTTTAGAGATGTGGGGAGCTCCAAAGTGTTGGAGATCAGCAGGGATGAGCCCAACCCACAAAGTCCTGATGCTGATTTGGATCATACCCATCCTAAATTCGAAAGGGGTTGGTTTTGAGTCAGCCTGCCAGGCCAGGAGTCTGGCTTTGAGATTTAGACACAGAGCCCAGGCCACCTCCAAGCTCTGTTTCAAGTGTGCAATGTCATCAAAAGGACAAGGTTTAGGGCATTGTTGTGCTGTGATGGTGCGTTGGCTGTGAAGGTGTATTCTGGGATGTTCTCCAAGCTTTTTCATATTAGTCTACGGGAGGCAGGTGAACTGCAAAGGAGGCAATGTATAAATCAGGGTGGGAAACTCCTTGACCTAGAGGGGGAAATCCCTGTTTCTCTGATCTCTGCACCAGGGTTATCATGCCCATTGTGGCTATATGGAAAGCTACTTTTTATTCTCTTATGCCTGAGTTTAAGTAGACAATGCCTTTTATAATGTTTGCTTAAAGACTAAGCAAAATGCCCTGGTTATTAACCTATTTGAAAGCAGGATGAAAGCTATCTTGCCATGTTTCAGAACAGGTTCTCTTATACGAGCAATAGCAACGTTGGTAGCTGGGCCCTATTGCTAAATGTTCTGTATTCTTCAGTTCCATTTTCCCTCTGGCACATAGCGAATAATAAGACTAATTTCTTTTATGCAGATGATATACAGGAAGTTGTGACATGCCCAAGGTCACACATTCAGTGGTTGGTGGAGATGGCAATAGACCTCTGCCCGCCTGATTCCCAGAAGCCCATTCTAGCCATGACTGGGACATGGGGTGGTCAGAGCAGACGTCTCCCAGTATGGGGCCAACAACGTCATTTGTGGGGAGCCTTTCTAAAGACCTCTCCCACCTCTGTTGCCTTGACAGAGAGTCTCCTGAGGTCTCAGACGGCAGGAAGTTCCTGGGGCTGGTGTTTCAGACACTCCATAGCAACAGACTTCCTCCGTGTGCCAGGGGTTTAACTGCTCAGTAATTAAACAAAGTCAAAGGGAACACATTTTTTTTTTAAAGATGAACATGATTGTGATGTGCCCTGTCCCTTTGAAGGAGCGGCTTTTATGAGATGATCCTTAATACTCACCGGTTGGGAAGCGATTGCAGCCCCACAAGAACAGTGACACAGGTTGTCTTCTTCACATTTGTTTTATTTTCCCCCTCCTCCCTTAGCCCCACCTCCTGTGGATGAATATAGTTGGAGCATATAAATTAAATACACAAAAGTGCACAAGATCGCTGTGCTGGGGAAGTAATAAGAGTATTTAACCTTTCTGGGAAAGAGCTTGTTTTTCAAGTGGCTGAGCTTGAATGTTGCTTGCAAAGTGATGTTATGGGCGTCCTTGTCACGTCTCATGGCCAGGCTTGTGGGGACTGGGAAGAGAACTCAGGCGCTTGCTGAAAACCATGTCCCTTGGGAAACAGTTTGCCAGTGATAATACTATGTTAGATGGGCATGCAGAGAACTGCTTCCGGCCTTTGCTCAAACCTTTCCTGATGCCCTGAACTAAAACTGTCCAGAAGTTCAAACAGTCCTCAGCAGTGCAAGATCATTAGAAACTGAGCCTGCAGTATCTCGCTGTGAAACCGGGAGCCTTGGTGGCCAGAGCTGCAGGACTGTCTTCCCTTCCCTACCCCGTGGCAGTAGCAGAGGACTCTCAACCGTCTTTTCCAGACTAGCCACTAAGAGAACAAAGAGCACGCACTATAGTGACAGGGTTTCCAATGGGAAACTCAGGCCCCTGGGTCTTGCTATGGGAGTTGTGTCCAAGTTTTGTGTGGGTTCTGGACCTTGCTCTGCTTCTTTCTGTCTGGATGAGGAGAGGCTTCAGACCTCTCTCCTGCTGGTAAATGCTATTCCAGTCTACAGAATTATAGATGTTAACAGGTGAGAGTTTCAAAGCCACCTTGGGGTAAAAATGTCCAAGGCCAAGGCTCCTTCAGGCAATCTTGCTCTGCTCCGTGCTCACTCTTCAACATCTCTTCTCTGACGGGAAGGGTGACAGTTCCTGTGTGTGGAGGTAGGGTCTACTTGCAATAGCACTATTACAGATCTTGTTTCAAACCCATGGGAACTAGGCAATGACATAATTCTTGCCATTCTCCTAGCATAGTCTTACTGAGGACCTCATTCAGTGGGTGCGAGTGAGTATTAACCCACCTTCATTTAATAGATGGGGAAACTGAGGCACAGAGAGGTGGAGCAATGCACCTGAGAAGTCTGAGAGCTCTGCCTGCTTTGTTCTTGTTCATGCATGCAACTGAGTTTTAAAATTGCCGTCCTGGCACAGAGCAGGATTTGCCTCTGCCATGCTGCTTACTACATGAGATGGTTTAAGGAAAAGTGATGGGACACTGTAGATGAGATCAAAGAAGTCACCTACCCTGTCTTCCTCTGCAGTTGGTGGTTGCCAGTGTGGTCTAGACCGGGGCAGGCAAAATACAGCCCGCTGGCTGGATTCGGCCTGCCAGGCCATTCTGTCTGGCTCGTGGGGCCCCTCCAAAATAACAACTATTACCAACCCACGGCTGCCCCTCTGAAAGCTGGTGGGAGGAGGGCTTT